TAACCGAGGGGTGGAATTCGATGCAGCTTGTTCGTCCATCAACTCGTATCACTCACGATTGGGGTGTATACGGGGCCGCAGATGGCGGCAAGTTTAACATTTTTTTCTTCCTAGAACTGACTTTGTGATCGGTTGCCACGTGTATCTCATTAGGGATTTTCGAGACATTCGTTTGAACGACCGAGCGGTATTGGAGACGAGGTGTATCGTGATCGATACATTTCACATTTTTATCGTGCCTTTATTCCCAAATTATCCACATTTCGACTGAAATTGATCTGTACAGCTTCATTGCACATAGACTGACCTAGTGAGCAGCCCGTACCTATCCAGTATTAAATTTATCCGGGAACATTGTGAGAATAGGCCACCATACTATAGAGGAAGTGATTCATACTCAAATATTCAATCGAAACCCTTTTACAACCCCGGTTTTTCCATTCCATCATTCTATTCAACAATTCGAATGATATTCACACCCAACATCCATCAAACAGTACTGATCGTACATTCCAGACAAAGAACCACGCAATGCCGGTTGGTCTTTTGCTTCATCTATTCCCGGGAATCAGTTACTTTCTCTATGCGGATAGGTGTACACAGCTAGCGGATGATTTTCTCATCAGTGCTTCATATTTAGCACTGTTCGCACGGTGTTAAGTGATGATTTTGTGTGTGAGAAATGGGGAAAGGGAGTCAATTCTGTCCTGTTTAGATCCACCTTCGTGGTATAAAATTAAGAAAATACGGATTTGCCGCATCAAACTAGACATCTCACGGGATCGACAAAACGGGTCAAACGCTTCGGAGGCGTTACACTCTGGTATTTATTCCGTTAGAACTTGAATATTCTGTGCGTTCCTTGCTGTGGTTTAATTGGCCAAAAATTGTGTAACACAATGCGGCACAACAATCAGAGTTCAACTACATGTAAACGTATGTAAAAATGCATTCCTTGAATGCGTCCNCCCCCCCCCCCCCCCCCCCCCCGGGAAAAGGAACGAAACGTGCCAATCCTAATGTTCCCAACTGTAATAGTTGAAGTAAGAACAGATCACAGATTACGAATTATGGACGCCACGGAAGCACTGAATCACACTGGCACGTGCACGACGGTATTCCACGTAATCGAGATACAAAGAAAAGGCCGCAGAGGTGGCAGTTCGTTTATTGGAAGAAATCAAGGGGGTTAAACAATNTTATTGGATACCCGGGTATCTACCAATCGCGCGTTCGTATTCTTGGCGTCGTACAGCTTCTGTCTGGGCCGCATAGCGTCTCATTGGTCGGCACAATCGGCTTATGGTTCGTTGTCCAGAAGCTGTAATACGTAGGCTCTTTGATGGCGTCATCTGGGAAGTTTGACTTATCACAATTGTCCGGACACTGTAACATTTTGCCCCCGAGGTTTGTCATTCCGTAAACTAGGATCATCACACTAACCCCCAATCACACTAGGCTGTCAAAATAGCATTCAGACGCCGATCATATTGCATTGGAATAATCAAACTAGAAAGTAACACTGTGAAAGAAAATTATTTTCTATTTATCAATCTGATGTCAGTACATTAATGAGGAAGTCTTACTAAAAAAGGAATAAAAGAAATCTGGGTTACTGATTGATTTGACCTGATTATCCTTCAGACTTCACTTTCACGCACAATCCTCAGCATATCGATTCAACCATACACTCGGTTGAATCAATCAACATCAGTTATCCCACACTACTACTCACAAGTAACTATGAGTTAAATGCGAGGAATTCTATCCCTTACGAACAACTGTAGGGGTATCGGTAAATTGAAATACATACAACAAAATGTCTCATTTGAAATAGGCCTTCGGAATTCCCACAAGGACACAGGATCATCAGTGGAACGGTCTGACGGTGGATGCGCGTTTCCTGTGATTATCATTTTGGACTTAATAATTTGCTCGAAGAGGTATTGTTCATTTTTGGCCGTTGAGAGAAATAGCTAATCGCGTTTTTCTGCGCACTCCAAACATACTACTCACAACACTTGTAAGTTGTAGATGCATTGGGAACAGGATTCAACTCGTTCTTGAGCAAGATAATGATAAATCCTGTGCTAATTCTGAGTTATAAGCATGCTCAGAAGACAAGTCAAGTGATCATGGAGGTGTATTCAACTTCAAAACCATTGTCCGACCCAGTCTTGACAGGACGAATTAATACTATTGCCAGTCGAGTGTACAGATCGTTGTTATCGGTGCGTGATCTCGGCCCTCAACACCTCTTTTGCCCTGTGGATTTTCTCAATCCAGCTAAGTTTCCAGGACGTGGAAGTCTTCATCGACTCCACTGTAAGAGGAGAAACAAAAAGGATATCTTCTCGCCGGATCGGGGAGTGACTTTGCGTTTATCAAGCGTTCCGTTGTTAAGAAGCGCTTCGTACCATTTGATGACCGTCGCGGACATTGTTTGATATATCCGCTGCTACGTTTTGGCCCTTCAGGTTGCCTGATGTTCTCTGATAATACCCTCAAGAACGTTTACATTGCCGGTGTGAACATTGGTGTAGTTGACCGCTAAAGCCACTTGCTCGAAAAATGAAAAGGCACCTTGAAAAGTTGCTACCCAAATCATGATTTCATGCCAGACTTTCACGTGAAGTTATAAAGTTTTCCCACTGGTGTCGAGGATTAGTTGGGCTGTTATTTTGTCCATCTTCCCAATGCGTTAATTGTCAAGTGAAAGCATTCGGAAGTCGATTAGAAAACCAAGCCCCTTAATCTGCCACCGGTATACATTGCGCCAGTTACCAAATTATTGACACGAATCCGACTATGGTAAGAAGCACACTATTGTTCCTCTTCTAGAAAGACCATCGCCAGGAATGACTAACTCTGCTCGCCGCGCATGAGTATTACTTTTGAGGGAAATTACAAAGCACATACATAGACTGTCTCGAATGGTTCCTTTACGAATATAAATACCTATTGGTTTTAAAACAAGACCTAGTACAAACTGTTATCAGTCATTTAGAAACGAACACGTTGCCAATTGTTTCTCATTACATTGTTAGGATACTCAGCCGTATCACTCGGTGTCTCTAACCATCGGTTACGTTCATTCCGAGACCCTTATTCAGGGAGCCTAAAGGGACTTATAGGACGTTAGGCTACCTAGATAGGGACCTAAGGATGATCGTAACCGATGGTTAGAGACACTGAGTGATATGGCTGAGTGTCGTAACCAATGGCGTTCGTGCATCTTCTCAATCTCGTTTCAGCCATAGTTTACTGCAGTTCTCAATTTTCTCCTCGACTCTACTTTCAACCTTCCTGTCTTTCTCCTACTGTTCGTCCAAATTGGCAATCGAAAGACAGCAATCAAAACCGGCGCACGAACGTGCATGGTTAATGGTTGTGCAAACTGTAACTGAAACATTGCATAGGTTGCTTTCGGCCATAAATTCCACGCACGATTCTATAGTACGAATATTTACTGTAACTGTGCCGATCCAGTCACATTCCTTCGCGGAATCTTCTCATATCCAATCATCTCATCTTCGTTTTAGTCACTGTCTGAGACCAGTATATCTAAGGTTTTTCGCTTATTTATAGTTCCAAACCGATTTCGAAACCATTTAGCCTCGTCTTTTCCTCATACAGAAACGGGATGCAATCCTCTTCATGTAAATCTATTCATGTACAAGCTGATAACCTTTACTTAAACACCAAGGCTTATTGATTTTTCCAATCGCAACTCACGATTGCCTACGAATTCGATTCTGAGTGTCGACTATTTCTACTGACCTTCCGTGAAACATCTGGATGGCATACAAGGGCAATCTTTGACATCGAACACAGTGAGAAGGCGTACGAGCTATCTTTACCACAGGATCGAATGACATTTTCTATCAGCCGAGTTCGCTGGAAGGGTGTGATTACCGTTAGGACTGTTTAGTGGTGAATTCAGTCGCTACATGGGTTTGCACAGATGAGGTCCCCATTTTTCAAGAGTACTCTCTAGTGAGAGGATCATTGTAATAATCTAATTACTGCGTCGGTAAAATGTAACTATGGTATGCTTTCCCGGATTTCTTTCGGTATAGACACCCAGACAAGTCATGCACACAGCTCATGCACCCACAATTCCCAGTTTGATGGATCGTTCGACCATTTCCGACGGGTTTCCCAGTTTTGGAAACCAGCCCGGAGGAGAACAACAAACAGGTCACCTGAGTCTGGACCGTAGACAACTGGGTCGAACAATGGTGTCTCAATCAGTGCCATACAGTGGCAGCTCCACCGGTCATTACGATCCGAATGCCACCTACGGACGTTTCACCGGTTTGGATTCTATGCCACCACCGCAGATGGAACCCCAATTCGGTTACAGACCCACACCACAACCAATAGGCTATCCAATGGCTTCCAATCCCTCAATTCCGCGGGAACAAACCTACGATCCGTATGGTGCAAACAACATTCAACGCTCATACTCATTAAGAGCTAGATCTCAACCGCCACCGGATGCGCACTGGCAATCGCTTCGTCAAACCCCGAACGCACAAATGGAAATGCGATCCCAGTTGTATCCGACACACGTAACCAGCTCACAAACAGGATACCCACAATCGGCTATTCAGGTACATTTTGTGAGAATTGCACAATGAGGATGTGTGTGGGCTTGTAATGAACGTATTTTTAATTGCATCGTTTCGTCCTAACCAACACCTGATATCAGTGCATCAAACACATTATTTAAAATGTGATCGTTCGATACGACATACCCTGATTTCCCATTTGAAATTATCATGCACCACAAGTTGTCCATTCGCATGTTAAGTAACTCCGAATTAGCTAATCATTAATAGCGAAAATAATAATGAGAGGGATCACTGAAATTTATAGCTTGTTTGTAAAATATTGAATAATTACAACGTACTCGGTTTTTTTTTTTTAATTCTCCTTTCGGCAGACAATCCGCACCCTGGAAGAGGAAAGACGAGCTCTACTAACCGAGTACGACAGACTTCGCCAACGAGGTCTGACACCAGCCACTCCATACTCAAACACATCCCGAATGCAAACACAACAGGCTCAACAGCGTTTTGCGCGAATGCAACTGCAGCATCAATTAATGCAACAACAAGAGTTGCTACGAGCCAACCTGTCACGTGGATATAACCAACGCATGCCTCTCCAACGCCCGCCATCTGCTGGACCGGCGTACCCCAGGTATATTTCCGATTACGATTATACTACTATAAGTAGTATAACACTATATATATAAAAATTATCTCAATAGTTGAGCAGACGTGCGATGACACGTGGGACATGAACAGTTTTATGCCACGATAGTGAAAAATCAAAAAGCACAAGTATTTCAGTTACATATTTTGAACACACCAGTGTTCAATTCGTGTTAGTTTTAATTGAAATTTTTAACTGACAGCCAGAGAATTAGATCACATCTAGATCGCAACTCAGCTCGTAACCGATGACACAATCCGTATTTATTTTTCTTGACTACGTAGGTATATATGAGCAGTTCAGTACAACCCATATCTGCCATAAAGTTATTTCATACAATTTCTTAACTTTTTTGTTTTAGTGCAACCTCTGTTCCCGGTCGTTTTACTTATGGTGGAAGTCTGGGAAGGGCAAACAGCGTAGCTAACGGTTTCAGCTATCTCGGTGATATGTACGGATCCGAACCACGAGTAGGAGGTGCGTCCTATGGTCCGGATGGTGTCGGTCTGGCAAGTACAGAATTCCAAGCGGTTCCCATGGCCGCACCCGGTGATGTTGCCGCCACTGAAGCGAGACTGTTACGTGAGCACAAGGGACGCCTTGAGGTGAGAATGCAACAGTTGGAGGATCACAATCGGCAGCTTGAACAACAGCTACAACGTCTACGCCAATATTTGGTTGGTGGAGCTCCTGGCGCAACACCATCAGGCGCACTGGGAGTCGGGGGGAACACTAAAGCTTCGGCAGAATTACTCTTGGATCCAAAAATGTTACGACAGGTAATTTTCGAGCATCTTCAAATCTCAGCCAGCAGTTAAACTGTGCAATTAATTTCCGGATAGAATCTAGCTAGAAAATTCAATTCCAAAACATTACTGAGCCCATTTGACACCTGAATCCGAGCATGTGACTGATCCTTGCAAAACTTTCCGCTACCATACATGGTATTGTTTGTGACACATATGAAGGTTTGATCTTCAATAACACCGCGTAGTCGGAGAAGTTCAATCGTAATCAGTTGGCGTGACAGCTAAATTTACGTATAACATTTCACACCGCAAACTATTTCTTTTCGATANAAAGTTACTTTCAAGAATGTTTATCGAAATTGGCTTTTGTTCGCGAGAAACCATGCACCTAAACAACGAAGTCAGGTGTACGAAATTGATCCGCATTTGTATGCATTGTATTGGACTACTACCACACGCCAACAGGCCAAGCAAGTCACGAACAAGTGTATATTATCGCCTAGAACTGTGCTCACACCCACCCACCCAAACGACAAGGAAGTGCGGTCACATGACCTGATTTTCATAGAAACGGTGCTTAGTTTTCTTTTATTTTCCAGTCAACAAACCCGTCCATCCATTCTTTTTGTTTCGGTGACTAGCGGTCCGCATCAGGAGGATTGGCCGGTCAGTATAACAATGGTGAGGGCAAATCGCTCACTGGTAGTGGCAGTGTTGGCCAGCTAGCAAACGCATCACGTCCGGACGTGAAGACCACCGTGGTCGGAACAGACAGTAGTTATCGGCAAAATGTGGACCCCGCACAATCGTCATCCGCGGTCACGAGTCGTCTGAATCAACATGAGTATTATCAACCGAATAGCGAAGACCTCATTTCCGGTGAGTCGATTTCGATTCGAAATTGTATTCTCCATCACAAAGCATA